CATGGAACACTATGCAGCCATAAAAAAGGATGAGTTCATGTCCTTTGCAGAGACACAGATGAAGCTGGAAACTATTATTCTCAGCAAACTGACACAAGATCAGAAAACCAAACACGACATGTTCTCACTCATAAGTGGGTGTTTAACAATGAGAACACATGGACACAAAGAGGGGAACATCACACACTGGGGCTTGTCTAGGGGTGGGGGGCTAGGGAAGGGATAGCATTAGGAGAAATACCTAATTTAGATGATGAGGTGATAGATGCAGCAAACCACAATGGCACGTGTATACCTATGTAACAAACCTACACATTCTGCAAATGTACACCAGAACTTAAAGTATAATAAATAATTAAAAAAAAAAAAAGATATAGCACCCGGCGCGGTGGCTCAAGCCTGTAATCCCAGCACTTTGGGAGGCCGAGGCGGTTGGATCACGAGGTCAAGAGATCGAGACCATCCTGGTCAACATGGTGAAACCCCGTCTCTACTAAAAATACAAAAAATTAGCTGGGCATGGTGGCACGTGCCTGTAATCCCAGCTACTCAGGAGGCTGAGGCAGGAGAATTGCCTGAACCCAGGAGGCAGAGGTTGCGGTGAGCCGAGATCGCGCCATTGCACTCCAGCCTGGGTAACAAGAGAGAAACTCAGTCTCAAAAAAAAAAAAAAAAAAAAAAAAAAAAAGATATAGCAGTGCTCAGATGGAAATGTATAGCTATAAGTGCCTGTATTAAGAAAAAGTCTCAAATCAATAACTTAACCTTACAACTTAAGAAACTGGAAATAAAATGAGCTAACTAAAAGAAAATCAAGCAAAATGAAGGAAATAATGAAGATTAGAGCAGAGATAAATGAAACAAGGAAATAGATTAACAGTAGAATCAATGAAACCAAAAGCTGATTCTTTGAAAAGAGCCACAAAAATGTCAAACCTTTTGCCAGATTGACCAACAAAAAAAAAAGAGAGAGATTTCTCAAATTACAAGAATCAGAAGTGAAAGTGGGGACATTACTACTGACCATACAAAATTAAAATGGAATATAAAAGAAAACTATAAATATTTGTATGCCAATAAGTTAGATAACTTTGATGAAATGAACAAATTTCTATCAAGATACATACTACTGAAATTGAAGAAGAAATAGACCATCTGAATTCACCTATAACAAGTGAAGAGATTGAATTAGCAATAAAAAAAAAAAAAAAAAAAAAAAAACTGCTCACAAAGAAAAGCCTTACCACTGAAGCTTTATCAGGAAGCTTTACCACTGAATTCTAGCAAACATTTAAAGACTAATTAAGTTTCAGTTACACAAGATAAATAAGTACTAGAGATCTGCTCTATAACATTGCACCTATAGTTAAGAATACTGTATCATGCACTTAAAATGTTGTCAAAGGGGCAGATCTGTTGTGTTCTTACTACAATAAGACAGAAAAAGAGGGAGCAAAAGAGAGACTCATCTTAAAAGCAGAAAAGGAAGGAACACTTTACAACACATTTTAGGACACCAATATTGCCCTTGTACTTAAACCAGACAAATATGTCAGAATGAAAGAAAACTGCAAACTAATAAATATTTTTACTATAGGTGCAGAAATTCTCACCAAAACACTAGCAAACCAAATCTAGAAACAAAAAAAAAATTACACACCATGATCAAACAGGATTTATCCCAGGAATGCAAGTTGGAGTCAGCATCCAAAAATCAATTAATGTAATAAATTATACTAATAGAATTAAAAACAAAAATCACATGATCACCTCAATATATTCAGAAAAAGCATTTGACAAAAAAATAAGAAATGTGCTAAAAAGACTGTTAAGACTAATAAGTTCAGCAAGGTTAGAGGATATAAAATCAATATACAAAAATTGATTGCATTTTATACACTTGTAATGAGCAATCTAAAAATGAAATTAAGAAAACAATTCCATTCACAATAGCATTAAAAATAACAAAACACTTAAGAATAACTTAGCCAAAGAAGTACAAGACTTATACACTAAACACTACAAAACATTGTTGAAACAATTTTTAAAAACCTAAATAAATGGAATGACATCCATCCTGTGCTCATGGATTGAAAGACTTAATTTTGTTAAGACAGCAATACTCTCCAAATTGATCTACAGAGTCAAATCAATACCTATCAACATTGCGATTGCCTTATTTGCAGAAACTGAGAAGCTTTCCTTAAAATTCATATGAAATTGCAAAGGGCTCCAAATAACCAAACCAATCTTTGAAAAAATTGGATCCTCCACAGTAGGAGGACTCACACTTTCAGATTTCAGAGCTTTCTACCAAGCTTCAATAGTCAAGACAGTGTCATACCGGCATAAGGGCAGACATATAGACCAATGTGTATTGGCCATTTCATTTCCTTTTCTGGGAATTGTCTCTTTATATACTTTGTATTTTTTATGTGTAATATTTTATCATTGCCTTACTCTTTTAAAAAAATCAGCTTTATTAACATCGAAGTAGAAAGTCCAAAAATACATCCATATATCCATGGGCAATTGATTTTCCAGAGTGTCAAAATAATTCCACAGAGAAAGAATAGTATCCTCAATAGAATTCTGGGATAACTGGATATCCACATTCAAAGGAATGAATTTGAACCCCTTCCTCACACCATGAATAAAAATGGACACAAAATTGATCATAGACCTAAATGAATGAACTAAAACTGTAAAACTCTTAGAAGAAAGCATGAGTAAATCTTCATGACCTTGGATTTAGCAAAGTATTCTTAGACACGACACCAGAAACATGAGCAACGAAATGGAAACTCGATAAATTGTACTTCTTAAATATTTAAAACTTTGTTTTTCAAAGGACACCCTCAGGAAAGTGAAAAAAATAACACACAGAATTGGAGAAAAAAATTGTAAATCATGTATCTGAAAAAGTACTTGTATCTAGCATATATAAAGAACTAAACAATATAAAGACTAGTAGTCCAGTTTTTAAATAGGCAAAGAATCTAAGTCAATATTTTTCCAAGGAAAATATACTAATGGCAATAAGAATGTAAAACTATGCTTGAAGTAATTAGTCATTAGGGAAATGCAAATCAAACTAGAATAAGCTACCACTTCACATCCGTGTTAGAGAGAATGTGGAGAAATTGGAACCCCAAACACTGCCAGTGGGATGTAATATGGTACAGCCACTGTGAAGAAGTCAGGCGTTTCATCAAAGAATTAAACATAGAGTTGCCAAAGGACTGAGAAATTCCACTCTTAGGTATAAACCCCAAAGAACTGAAAACAGATATTTAAAAAAAAAAAAGAAAAGAAAACCTTGTACACGAATTTTCAGTGGTAGGATTATTTAGCATGGCCAAAAGGTAGGAACAACCCAAATGCCCTTTAATGGATGAATGGATAAACAAGATATGGTCTACCCATATAGTGGAATAGTATTCAGCCACAAAAAGGAATGAAGTACTGATACATGCTATAGTGTGAATAAACCTTGAAAACATGCTAAGTGAAAGCAGCCAGTCACAAAAATTCACGTTTCCATGTATATAAAATGTTCAGAATTAGGGAAATTTATAAAGACAAAAAGTACGTGAGTGGTTGCCAAAGGCTGGAGGAACATGGGTTAGGGAGATGATAGCTAAAAGGTTCTGGGTTTATTTTTGAAGCGATAAAAATGTTCTGAAATTAACTGTGGTGATAGTTGTACATATCTGTGGCTATATTAAAAACCTATACTAGCCAGGCGCGGTGGCTCAAGGCCTGTAATCCCAGGTACTCGGCAGGCTGAGGCAGGAAAACCGCTTGAACTCGGGAGGCGGAGGTTGCGGTGAGCCAAGATCGAGACATTGCACTCCAGCCTGGGCAACACGAGCGAAATTCCATCTCAAAAAAAATAAAAAATAAAAATAAACTATACCAAGAATTGTTCACTTTAAATGGGTGAAATTTTATGTTAATAAGCTAATAAGCGTGATTTTTTAAAGAATAAGGCAATGATAAAAGATTACACATAAAAAATACAAAGGATATGAAGAGACAAATCCCAGAAAAGGAAATGAAATGGTCAATACACAAGACTTGGTGTTGACGTCATCAGCAGTCAGAGAAATGTTAAATAAAGCAATGAGAGACATTTTTATTTAACTACATTCGATTGACAAGAATTAAGAAAGAATACAACACACATGATGCTTGAAATAATGCAGAGCAATGGTCTTTTCTGGATAGAATTTAAACTGCTAAATAGTTTTGGGCAGTAGAATGCCCATGTCCATTAAATTTAAAATATACTCATACTCTTTGAATTCATGACCACTCTTTTAAGACTCTAGCTCATAGAAATAAAATATATGTGGCTGCACTTTAGAGAATCTTTATTGCAGCATTGTTATGACAAAAGGGAAATTGAAAGGTGTTTATGACGGTTTACTAATTGCAAAAAGCTATTATTAATTTAAAGTAAGGCCCTGGTTTAACTTTTGTAAAAAAGAATCAGCAATAATTGTATATAGGAATGCAAACACATGTAATATTCATGTGTTTCACGGACTCAGGGAGGGGAACATCACACACTGGGGCCTGGGCGGTGGGGGCTAGGGGAGGAATAGCAGGGGTGGAGGAATTGGGGAGGGATAGCATTAGGAAAAATACCTCATGGAGATGACGGGGCGATGGATGCAGCAAACCACAACCCTGGTGTATGTACACCTACATAACAAACCTGCACGATGTGCACATGTACCCCAGAACTTAAAGTATAATAAATAATTTTTTTTTAATCTGTGTGTTTATGTGAGCATGGAAACGCATGTTGACTAATATATAATTATATACCTTCCCTTTTTTGCCTACGGTTTTGTATTGCTTTGCTAGTTTCAATCAAAAGGTATGACATTTGCAGTTTGAACGGTAGGGAACATTTTTAGTCATCAAAGTGTGGGCGGGATAATTAGAAAGGCAGGGAAAGCGCTAATTTTGCAGCCATTTTGTGTGCGCTCCTCTTAGAGACAGTGCGGCGACCCCAGCGTCGCGTCTACGCGCGGGATTACAGTAACCCGTTTGTCAGTGATGAGTCAGAATGCGTGGTGCTGATGCTGCTGCCATTTCATCACCTTTGCGAGCGCAGCATCCATCCCTCCGCTCTCCGAGCGCCTGGGCCTACCCCACTTCGGGCTCCCAGGGCAGCGATGCGCTCGCGGCGGAGCTAGATCCGGCCGAGCCGCGCTCTCTGAGGCGTCGGCGGCGCGCCCCCTCCCGCCGTCCCTGGTCCAAGCCAAGGAGACCTGCCGAGCCGCGGCCATGGAGGCCATCTGGCTGTACCAGTTCCGGCTCATTGTCATCGGGGATTCCACAGTGGGCAAGTCCTGCCTGATCCGCCGCTTCACCGAGGGTCGCTTTGCCCAGGTTTCTGACCCCACCGTGGGGGTGGATTTTTTCTCCCGATTGGTGGAGATCGAGCCGGGAAAACGCATCAAGCTCCAGATCTGGGATACCGCGGGTCAAGAGAGGTTCAGGTGGGATCGCAGTCCGGGCCCGCAAGCAATGGGAGGGTCTTCGGGGTTTGCACAACCCCTGGGGAGAGAGGACTTCCTGGTCCTAGTCGCGGTCCAAGAGGGCAACTCCAAGGGTCTTAGGGGATTCTGCCAAAGCCCACCTTCAGCTAACTGGGAGGTCAGTGCAATGAAGCGCCCTGGCAGAGAAGGCCAGTCAATAATACATATTGCTTGCACCACAACTCCACCAACCCGCCCCTTGGTGGCTAATAAACTAGATGGAATTGTTCTCTGTATCTGTAATTCATCAATCTCAGTCCCTATGTTATATACTTTTTAAAATGTTCCCAGATCATCCTAACATAACTGACAGAGATTTAGATACATAAATACATGTGTATTATGTTTTATTCTTATATCTGTGTGTGCACATATATATGCTAACATATGTTCTAACATAAAGGAAATAGTTACGATAAATTGGTTGATTCCTTCTTGCAACCAGCACACATTCAGTGATTATCTACTGTGTGCCATGCTGTGGGCTTGTTTCTGGGATAACAGTGTGAGGAAACTCACACAAGGGGATGCCATGTAATCAAAACAGACAAAGCCCCTTAATTCTTGGAACTTCTGTGCTAACATAGTTGAGGGAAATAGATAATCGGGAATTACAAAAGCTTATCTTGCTCATCTTTGTATGCCCACTCCCTACTGTTAACACTTGGCACATAAAGAATGTTTAATTTCAATCAATCAATTCATTGAATAATCAATGAATATACTTATTTTCGCTCACAACCCTTTGCTTTTCTTTTGTAGCATGTATTATTTGTAATTGTATGTACGAACACAGAGGAGTAAAGGTTAACTGAAGAAGATGAAACCGGATGAGTATGAGTGCCCAAGCAAAGACAGGAAACGCCCAGGGATAGGAAACAGCATGAATAAAGACAGAAGTGAGAGGGAGCAGAGTGTACACATAAAACTTTGCAGAGAACAATTTGAACTAAAGTCAAGTAGAGCAGCAGGAACCAGATCAAGAAAACTCAATAGCTCATGTTTATGATCATTTATTCATTTATCTATTGAAAACTAATTAAGCATAGAAGACATTGGTTGGGTATTTGAAGAGGGGTAAGGAGAAGAAATAATTACAAACTTAAGTTGCTCCAGCTCCCCACTTCCACAAACAACACTGTGGCAAATATCCCTATACAGGTTCACTTTGAACTTGTGAATGCATTTCTCCTAAGCAAAGAAAGGTATCTTTTATGTGTTTGTTGGAATTTCTTTCTCTATGAACAGCCTGTTCATATCCACTTCTTATTATCTATTGGGCAATATAGACTTGTAAGAGTTCTTTATAGATTAAGAATATTAACCCTTTCCTGTCGTGTATGTTGTAAGATATACTCTTAGTTTATCATTTGTCTTTTCACATTATTTAAGACTTTTTTAATGTAGGGAAGAATTTGAGTTTTATGTAGCCTTATGTCCATGCTTAGAAAGGCCTTTGTCATTTTCTTTGCTAAGTACTCACAAACAATTAATGTAATAATATATTCCAGAGGTTTGACGGTGATCTACAGCTTGCTTATTGATTTCTTGATTCAAGCTTTTCACAAATCAAAACCTTTGTTTGTTCATGTCTAATTTTCTCACAAATCTACCATTCTCCATGAATGTTCAAACCTAAGAAACAAGAAATGCTTTCAATCCCCAGGGCTGATTTGCCTGACTCTGGAGACTTAAACTCATTTCTAAGTTTTACTTTTACCATCATCTAGCTTGAACTGTAGGTCCCTGGACAATGCTTGTTCTGTTAACATTGGGCCATTTTCCCTAAGCTATTGAGTACTTCATTGTCTATCTTCTTTATCAGAAGAGACAGGAAACCTAAAAATAGACATATATCAAAACATCACAGTAGTCTAAAGCAAGCGATTGCAGAGACAAATAGGTCTACACCCTGTAATAAGCTTTACTACACTGTAAGCAAAGTGCCATAATGTATATTTATAATGAGGCTCCTCAAGTCCAGAAGTTAAAACATGAGAAGTTTCTTCTGATGGCTCCTGAGTCCGACTCTCTGAAATGTGTCAGGAAATAGGGCTGAGAGGCACTTTGCCTGAACCCTTCACTGTCTCTCTTTTTCCCATTCCCACAGGCCTGGAAAATAAAAAATAAAATTCTGTTTCTCCTCACAGAAGAGATTGAGGACCCCTCTTAGCTAATAATAATAATAGAGAAAACATGGTAATGATAAATGAAAAAAATGGAGTATATGGCAAGATATCTACTTTAAATATTTTGTTAACTATCATAAATTCATTTCTATGTTTTAAAAATCCTGTTTCAACTACTAGCATTTATAATGAACTCTCCATATCACATAATACTTTAATATCCATTGTTTCATTTTGCCTCATGGTAACACTGTGACTTCAGTATCATATTTTGCAGAAAGGGAAGTCTCTGCCAAATTCAGATTTGGGAGGTGGGAGAGTTAGTTGTAGTTTTACCTGAAGACAAAAAATAGAACTAAGTCATGTCCCAGGGTCACTCTCCAGTGCTGAATCCAGGGAAAATGCCTAAAAGTTCATGAGCATTCATTTCTAAAAGATGCCCATCTCAAAGTTTTGCCCAATTTGAAACTCACATATCAGTATTATTATGGAATGACATTTGTATTCCCTTGTTTAAAAAAAAATCATTTTTTTTGAAGGACTGTGTCAATAACCAGGAACACTTGAATACACTGAGTTCATTGACATGCAGAAGTTTGGGCATGGCCTTTATTCTTTACTTCTTTCTTGTGTTTTAGATCCATCACTCGCGCCTACTACAGGAACTCAGTAGGTGGTCTTCTCTTATTTGACATTACCAACCGCAGGTCCTTCCAGAATGTCCATGAGTGGTTAGAAGAGACCAAAGTACACGTTCAGCCCTACCAAATTGTATTTGTTCTGGTGGGTCACAAGTGTGACCTGGATACACAGAGGCAAGTGACTCGCCACGAGGCCGAGAAACTGGCTGCTGCATACGGCATGAAGTACATTGAAACGTCAGCCCGAGATGCCATTAATGTGGAGAAAGCCTTCACAGACCTGACAAGAGACATATATGAGCTGGTTAAAAGAGGGGAGATTACAATTCAGGAGGGCTGGGAAGGGGTGAAGAGTGGATTTGTACCAAATGTGGTTCACTCTTCAGAGGAGGTTGTCAAATCAGAGAGGAGATGTTTGTGCTAGTCAGCTCTTTTATTTCCAAAACATGCTCTCCTACTTGAACTGAAAAGTAAGAGAAATAAATAGAATCTTTGTGTAACTGATGAGAACTCAACCTCTGTTTGGATACCAAGCGAGCCTCCTTCTCAGGGGGACTCTGACAGACTCATGTGCGGGTGGATGGGGGTGCCTGAGTGCTGTGACCAAGAGACTGAATTGCTGACATGGGTCAGGCTGGGCAGTGGCTGCTCCATGAGCCCTTTGTGGACCAAATGTTAAGGGCCTGGGGTTTAGGAAGCTAAGTCCCAGGAAAATATACCTACAGACAGGTTTTTGCTGGGTTTGGTCAAAAGGTACCAATTATCTTCTAACAGCTTATCTGTAAAATGAGGAACACAGAACAAAAGGTCTGGTGTTCAAGTAAAAATGATGTGAATATGAAAGGAAGTGCTATCTACTCATAGTTATTAGCACATTTGAGAAAATGAACACCCTTGTGATAGAATTACCAGCTGTATGAAACAAATGGTCCCATGCAAATTACCCTGTAAGTAGGGAAGAGACACTATAACACATGCCAACCCCCTTTTATCCTCTGACCATGCCTGGGGTTTCACTGCATTGGCACCTGCAATCTGGAAGTAAACAGTCTGCTTGCTTCTTCAGGCACCTGACAGTGACAACACAGGGACTGCCTCTGAAAAGAGCTCTAAGGCACTCTCTCCTGCTGAAAAGGAGGCACTGTAACCCTTACAACAGCTTACAGTTACTCGAGCTACTTATTTGATCAGCATAACAGGCAGATGAGGTTTTTGCCCCATTTTACAGAATAGTAAATTAAGAGCCATGAGAATCACTTGGCCAAGGTCAAGGACTCATGACTCCTAGCTCTTTTCACTGCATCATACTGCTGTCATATAAATAAATGATCATGAATTTGTTTACTTGGGAAGAGATATGACTGTAAATAAATGTTCTCTACATGTTAGGATATGTTTTCCTTATTGATTACAATTCAGCTATAATCCTGAGGGAACATGAGAAGGAATCAAGGTATTGACAAGAGGGCTTTAAACAAGTGAATAATTGCACAACTAAAAACACTTTAGAACTGTGTGGTCTATAAGTGTTCTTATCACTGAGACACAGTGGAATTTTATTGAAAGGAACCACATACAGCAATGGGGAGTGGGATAGGGATAAAATACTCACCCCACAATGACCTTGGCCACCTGTCTGCCATATAGGTACACTGAGTTCCTGTCTACCCAAGAGAGTCAGCCTTTAATTCTCAGGTGAACAAACAGCTAACTGCATCAGCAAATTGGAATGGCTGGCTTGAAGTTTCCATTATTTTGTTGAAGAAAGGTGATGCTTTAAATTACTTTTTGGATTGTAGCCAGTTCAGCTAGGCAAAAGCCATACTTTCCACAATTAAAAAGAAATTATTCTGATTTGAGTCAGGTTTCTCATATTCATTGTGATAGGAAGGCCTAAGAACAGCAAATCATTTTGAGATAAATATTGACCTTTGGGATAAACGTGACTGAATCTGAAAGTTTGGAAATTTGCTTCAGCCAGAATAAAGAAGCCAAATAATGAAAATGATGGAAGACTATTCTGCCACCTGTGCCCCAAGTTGGATGTGCAAACCACTTTGGATCAATTCACAGCATCAACTACAAGTGAACTGATCATCTTCTCTATATTTATTTCACAAGAGCTGGCTTAGGTGGGGTAATTAAACTGCCACCTTCATGATTTTAAAAGACAAACAAAACACCGAAAATTGGATTAACACAAAATTTCATTAACTGCTATACTTAATTATGTTTAGAAGATTCTGAAAGGAATCTTATCTAGTAGGTAAATGAGAGTTGAGTGGATTCTGTCAGTTCAAAAAAAGAAACAAAACTTCTCTACAATTTTCTTGACTAAAATTAATTATATGTACACTATTCCCACTCCTGGCATTTTTTTGGCAGGTTTAAAAATATTCAGCATAAATCCAGTAGAGGTGGCTGAGGTTAATTGCTTAAATATGTTCTAGAAAATTTAAAAATCATTTTAGTAGAATTCAGTACCATTGTTACTGCAATAAGTGGGTTTTAGAAAATAAGTGTGAAAAATCAGGTGTTAATATAATACTAAGGATAAAGCTTTAGAAGCTATTTTACTACATAGGTAAAGAAAAGATAAACTAACTTGTAACAAAGACGACAACTGCATGTTGGATTAGATTGTCTCATATTTCAGAATAAAATGTACTGTATACTTTTCCTCACTTTGTTGTGCACTGTAATGAAATGTGAAAAATGCTTTATTTAGCTGTATGTGAATGAAAATATGCTTGTATTTAGTAAAATGATTGATTACGTGACTGTGAGATTCCAAGTGTGTGTTATAGCTATTTCCAGAATCTGTTACTACAGTGTAGCAACTACTACCAAGGATATCAATAAGGTGTGACATATACCATACACAATAGTATTCACCATTATCTCAAAGCCAGAGAATACGAATTTTGAAAGTTATCTGACCATTGGATCAGTCTTCACTGGGATCTCACTACTTCCTGGTGAGCCTATGCCAGTTCAAGAAAAGTTGGCTCTGTCAAGCCTAAATCTTCATCGTGGTGATTTTTAATCAAGAATCTTAATTCTGTTGCCAGGTATTTGATTACAACTATTATGTTCCCTGGAAAGTGTTCTTTTTTCCAGGCTAAATTGCCTCAGCTTCTTCAAATCCTACTACAGCATGCTTTTTATGCCAGGATAACTTACAATGTAACACTGACATAGGAACACAAGGAACACAGTAGTTAAGCACTTTTCCCAGGATTGATAGTACACATGTTAGGAGGGTAAAAAAAGATAAAGATAATGGATTCTGAGTCTGAGCATAGGTAGGTTAAGTTCTATACAGATTTATCATTTATAGTTAAGAGGGAATGGAAGGGAGGGAAGGGGAGAAGAAGGAAAGAAGAAAGGAAAAAACAACAATGTAACACCTTCTTCTCCTTAAAATGCTCCCCAGGGCTTGGCCATCTTTTCTTTATTTATATTAATTCTCTTGTTGGCTTCATTCAGTCCCATGACTACAAATTAAATCTATAAGCCAATGAGTCCTGAATTTTTATGTTCAACTTGTCTCTTTCCCATGGACTTCAGACCCTTATAACCAACTCCTTACCTGACATCCCCACTTGAATGTCTATCAGGCACCACAAATTTAACAGGTCCCAAATCAGGCTCTTAATCTTCCTCCCGAAATATGTCCCTCTCATATCTTCCCCTTCTCAGTAAAAGGCAACTTTGTCCTTTCATCTACCTTTGCCAAAAATCTGGTGTCATCCCTGACTCCTTTCTTTCATAGTCCACATCTGATCTATCAGGAAATTATGCTAGCTCTACCTTAAAAGTATAACTAGAATATGACAGCTTTTCACCATTTTCAATGCTAACTCACTGGTGCTGCCCACTATCACTTGTCTGAGTTATTGTGATAGCTGGTCTCCCTGCTACCACTCTTGTCATCTCCCCTTTCCCACCCCTGCCATGCTTGCAGTCTATTCTCCACACAGCAGCTAGAAAGAGCCTGATAAAACATTAATTACAAGCAATCATCTACTCATAATTCTCCAGTGGTTATACGTTTTACTCAGCTTAAAACCCAAAGTCCTTCCAATGGCCTGTAGAAGAACCCTTAGAAATAAATTCCATCTCCATCTCATTACTTATGTAACCTCATTTCATACTGCTACATGGGTTCCTTTCCTGTTCTTCAAACACACCAAGCACATTCCTACCTCAGGGACTTTGTATTTGCTTTTCCCTCTGTCTGGAATTCTTTTTACTGAGATAACTGCATGGATTGCTCTCTCACCTTCATCAGATTGTGGAGCTTCCAAGAGTTGCAAGCAGTTTCCTCATCCTAGGGAAGACGTGGCTCCAGAAGTAATTGATGATAGCTCAACCTTGAATCTTACTCTTTAGTCTTCCCTGGGTAACAGTAAAGTTTAGGGCACACAGAAAAGGGAAAGGAAACTTACAGGGAGACAATGAAAATCTGGAGAGTACAGTTTTACAGGATGGTGTGAACAGTAATATCAAAATGCAGCAGTGGGTTCACAAAGATAAAAACTAAAATGAATCCTTAGGATTTGAGGGAACAGGAAAGTCATGAGTGGCCTTTGCCAGCATAGTGTTAGTGGAATGATTGCTGCCTATATCAAGTCTCTCAGGAACTTGGTGTTCTCAGTTCTCAGAGAACTAACTCTCTTCTCTCTCTTCTCTCTATCCTCTCCTCTCCCTGGACAATCATACCTATTCTCGTGACTTCAGTTACCATCTTTGCATTGCTGATTCCAAAATCAGGAACTCTAGCTCACTCTTCTGAGAGTTATACCAATACAGCTAACTTGCCAACTAAACACAACCAACAAATTTCTCAAACTCAACATATCCAATATTAAAATCAATGTCTATCAAAATATGCTCCATCCACCCAAATCTTCATCATCTCTATAAGTGACACCATCATTCACAGAAATTATTCTTAATTGCTCAGTCCCCTCACTTCTCATATCAAATCCATCATCCAGCACTGTAAACTCTAACTTCAAAATATATGTCTGAGCCTGGTCAATATATTTAGTGAGACCCCACCTCTACTAAAAAAAAAAAAATTAGTTCAACACGGTAGCACATGCCTGTAGTCCCAACTACAAGGGAGGCTGAGGTGGGAAGATCACTTCAGTGAGCCATGATCACACCACTGCACTCCAACCTGGGTGACAGAGCAAGACCCTGTCTCAAATATATATATATATATATATATATATATATATATATATATATATATATATGTCATTTTTGTCCATCTCCATTGATATGACCTTTGTCCAAGTAACTATCAACTCTTACCTGAACTACTTCATTATCTTCCTAACTAGTCTCCCTACTTCTTGTTCCCACTCCCATGATACATTCTCAACATAACAGCCAGAGTGATCTCTTCACATTAGTCAGATCAAGTAATTCCTCTGCTTAAAATCCACTGATGGTTTCTTGTTGCATTTAGAACAAAATCCAAATAAACCCTACATTTCTTAGCATGGTTACAAGGCCCTGAATAATCTGGCCTGGGTCTACCTCTCCAACTGTGAGTTCTACAAAAGTAAGAACTGTGAGTTCTTACTCATCGTGTTCACCAGTATTTCTCCAACTTCTAGCATAGTTTGATGGCTTGAATAATCTATAAATACTTGAATAAATGATTGTTTTCTTGCTCTACTTTAATCCAATGACCTTGACTCTTACTTCACATCAGTAAAATACACACATGTCCCTATTCTGAAGCATTGCCAAATTGTATACAGCCTCTGACTTCTGATTATAAGCTCTGGTTGCTCACTCTCCCTATGAGCCCTGTTTTAAACGTCTTTAGGACGTTTTAGGCAATCTACCAGTCCCCAGTGTACCCTTTGATTTTGTTTTCTTCCCCCTTTTTCCTGGCTCTTGTAGCCAACAGCATTCAACCATAAGTTCCTAAAGAAAATGACTGTTAAAAGCTCGATCTATTTTTTTCTATATATTTTTATTTCACTTTTCTAAAGGTTGTTTAATATAATGGTTAAGATTATGGATTTTGGAATAAAACAGACATGAGTTCAAATTCTGACACAAGTAATGTGTGATTCAATTTCTCTGAGTCTCAGTTTACACACATATAAAATTGGATAATAATAGTATTTGATTAACAGATTGTTGTGATGATGAAATATGATAATCCATATAAAGTACTTAGCACAATCTCTGGCATTTGGTGAACATCACATAACAATCTTACTCAGAAAAGGTTAGGTACTATAATATGTCTGCACATAAATGAATCTTTTTCATAAAGGGTACCATGTAGCACATACTATGCCATTACCTTTTCCACATATTGTATATTCTCTGCAAATACACAACAACAGGGACTATGTGTGTCTTTGCTAATCATTGTATCTTTACAGTTAATCAGTACCTGTACATATGTGCTAAATGTAATTAAGAGTTAGTTGACATACTAAAGATGACAAAGTCAAGATAGAAGAAAACTGGGTCCTTGATAATGTCATTAAGCTAAAGATTTAACTACCCTGGAGCCACCCTATATTAAGATTCCTTATTACATGAGTAATAAATCCTACTTTAGTTTATGCATTTTTTTCCACCTGTAGCTGAAAGTCTCCTGATATAATAGTATTTTACTGTATGGATATACAACTTATTCTATCAATCCTCAGGTTATGTATAAATTTTGCTGTTATAAAGCAATTCTATGATGCATATATATCTTTGTATATTTGACTAATTATGTCCTCGTCAAAATCCTAGAAGTAGAATTTATGAATCAAAGAATGTATACATTTACAATTTTGATATAATTGATTAGATTTTAAATGTGCATATCTTGGCTACTGGTTTTCTGTGGCTTGCAGCTGAAGCAGTCCTATTTATTAGTATGATCTCCTTATATAGGCAAATCAGTTTTTTATTCATCACATATGCTGTGAATTTTTTTAAGGTTTTTCTGACTTCAGCTTTCTGGTGTTTGGTAATACAGAAGTCTCTCATATATAGGTGATTAAATCTGTTGTCTACAAGAAACTAAAAACAGTCTTTCTCTCAAACTGAGGAGCTGATGATCTAGGAAGACAAGCTGTGAGAAAGACTGAATTTCCATTGATTTTTGTGGCATGTAACTTATGTTATCTTTCTTGTACAGTATGTTATCTTAATGTTTTTTGGCAATAGTGTTGGGTTGAGATAGGCCTTCCCCACTCAAAAACTAGAAAACTATTTTTCTATAATTTCTTATAATGGATTTGGGATTCCCTTAGGAATTGACTTAGGTATAAGAAGTGGAGAGAGGAATAACAACTGTTTTTCCCAAATGGCTAGCTATTTGTCCTCCCACCATCGTAGAATACTCCATTGTTCCTTCAATAATTGGAAATTCTACCCTTTTCAAATATTAAATTGTCATATATACATGGGTCTGGTTTGGGACTTAGCTTTTTAGTTCATTAATCTAATTTTCTATTCCTACCTACATTGTTTTAGTTATAGTAACTCTGTAATATGTTTTTACTATCTTTTGTCCCTTCAAAATTGTCTTTACTATTCTTATGCAGTATATTAGAACATGAAGATATGTCAAGTTTCCCCTAAGGGAAGATTGGGATTTTGATTGAAGTTGCATTAATTTACTGACACTGATATATGACAGGAACAAGTGTCTTTACAATATTTGCCCAAAAATATTTCATTCAATTATTTTAATCCTTAGTTTATATTCATCAGTAACTTCTTATAGTTATAAGTTTAGCCA